CACGTGTTTGGCCTGGGTGGCCGGCATAGCAAAGACACAGAAGCTTCGTACGTGCTCTAGTACTAGCAGAAAGTCGGCAGCCATGGCTGAGAAGGACTCCTGGGGGCAGGTTCTCACAGTTTGCAGTAATTTTTTGTTTTGTCCTGGAGCAGGAAGACTTTCTGCTCCTGCGGCCGTGACTTTATCCCTTGAGGAAGATGTTGCTCGCTTGCAAACTCAAGTGCAACAGAATATTTGTGGAGCACAGCTATTTTCGATGTGTGCAGACTACAGGTGGTCATGACAATGCAGCTTGCTCTCAAACCCATCTTAAAGCCTTTGACAAGTTCTGAGCTCAGAACATATCGTGCTACAGTCAGAGGTCTATCCAGTGATGTGCCCTGCTGTACACACAGTACAGGTGTGACGGAAATGTGGCCGAATGCACTTCGGTTCTCCCACCCAAAGACGCCGTTATCCACCGATTGGGTGGAACATGAAGGGTTCGTTGTCCTGGACAGTGTTGGCAGATGACACTGAGAGCTTCGTTCCCTGGTCGAGATGGGATTCTCTTGAATTCGGTTTCTGAGGATATGTGACTATCAATCAAGTGCCGGGCCCGCAAACTTTTGAGGCAGCCGCGACTTGACTTCAGTTATGCCACAAGACTCACTGGAACGAAGCCCGGCTGATCAAATGAGGTAGACAATACGGCTAAATATCTTCCAGAGCTGGACCGCAAGATCATCGCCTCGTTGCTCAAGAAAGGCCTCTCCCGAGTACGCCGACTACGAGGAAAGACAGGGTAGCTGGGCTAATTTAAAGTCTGATGGACATATTCCAGCACATAATGCTCCTTCGAAGCCCAGGTCTTCGCACAGCGAACGGATGGATCGAATGAAATGCAAGTTCCCTGCTGCAGTAGTACACAGTCAACATATGCCGGAAATTTGCATTCGTTGGCCCTGATCGTTCGCCGTCTGAGGATGGATGGTTGGGTGGAAAAGAAGAAGAAAAGGAAGAAGACGGACCGCAACAGGGGTCCTGACGAAGTTCTTGATGTCGATGAAATGCTTGACGAAATTGATGCCGAAGATCCGCCGGATTATGATGAGATTGAAAGGCTCCTTGAGTCTCCAGAGCCCGAGGGACCGTGCTTCAGATAAATTAATGTGTTGTATTTGTGCGAGCACGCTAGCCTTGGAGCCAAATAATGGTTTGTCGTGGGTCTCTGCATCTCAGGAGCTCTTCAGACCGTGGAGCGAAGTCGCTTGGATTCGACAATAATGCTTCTCAATTGCTCTTGAGCCCGCAGTATGCAGACAGAAAATTTTGAACCATTCGAGGCTCAGGCGGCTGGAGCAGGAGTATGGCGACTTGAGCCGTTTTACGCCTTCGGAGGTTGAGGACCTCATGATGGGATGCTCGACAAGCGAGCCTGGAGATCAGGAGCCCAAGTCGTTCGAGCCTGGAGATCAGGAGCCCAAGTCCTTCGAGCCTGGAGATCGCGAGCCCAA